CATTCAAAATAGGATTTAGGTAGGAGGAATGTACCTTTATGACTTTCTTAAAAAAAATCTTAAACAGAGAGTCACTGCCCTACAGATACTTAAGCTGATGTGATGTGAAAAGGAGATCATATTAGAGTTTTTCAAAAATGTTTCCTTTCTTATCCCTAATCTTATCTATAAGATGGTAGGGTTTAAGAGCAAAGGGCCTGAATTGCAGATATAAGTCTCTGCTAGAGATTAGAACAAAATATGTGGTTTTAGATGCAAGTTAAAATTAACACAAGCAAAGGGTTCAGAAAAATTGTACATGAAGTCTCTACTAAAACAGGTCTGAAGGAATAGAGTTATGTGTGTATTTATTTGTTCGTCCCATAGTGCATGCTATGTGAGCTATGGGTCATTTGAATTGGAGGAGAAAACATGGGACTCTCCATATACACAGGCAGTGCTACACAGCAACCATCAGAAGAGAAAATAGAAAAGTTTTTATAAGCTTTTTTATTAGCATCGATGATCTGGAGTTAAAGCATGTCTGTCCCAGGTTCATAGCACAATTGATGACTACATTTCAGCAAGAATTAACTGGAATCCTACTCACATATTTAAATTTAGGAGCTTAGTGCTATAACCATCTCATCTAGTCAGATCAGAAAAAACTATGAGTTAAACAGAAAAAAAACCAAAGCCCAGTAACAAGGTTTTAGGGCAGTCTGACTCTTGATAAGGTAGGTTATTCCTAATTTCATGCTATTCTTTTGCAAATATTTAACTCCACGGTTATGCTTCCTACCCAAGAGGAAATAGAGGAAGAGCTTTGAGATGTTCATTTCTGAACATGGTTAAAATTTTTCTTTTAACAAACATCAATCATAAGCATGAGTTTTAAGTCACTTGCCTTTGTGCCTGACTAGATGTATAAACCTGAACAAAAAAACTAAACTTCCTCATTTTTCAGTTTCTCAATCTGTGAAAATAATGTGATGGAGGACAATTCTTTTTCAAGAGTAGGGATTGCCATGTTGATATTGAGCAAGTACTTTGTACAACATTGGTCAGAGCTCCTCTTTACAATTTGCAAAAAGCTTTTGCTTCAGTGTGTTGAAATTACATTGAGAAAACTGAGTTTTACCTACCTTTCACTTGACAGATTTCCTTTAGCACATGGAAGTATTATGCTTATTCAAGCTTGTAAATTGAAATGCTTATGAGAAGCAAAATAATTATAAGTTTTGAGCCTGAACAAATGAGAAAGAGAAGCATGAGTTTTATGGATCATTGAAATCATTTGGAAATGTCATATACAATAGTGCAATAACCTTAAGGTCTATAGCAGATTTATACTCTAAATACATGAAAACTTTCTATAGGACTTGGAACTAAAACTGCTCAATAGATTTTAAATGTTTGTTTTTTAAATTTTTCTCTTGTTTTGTCTGTTGGATCACTGCTGACAGTCTACAAGTTTCAGGGGGGAAAAAGTCTATGTCTTTTTTTATCTCATGACAATCTAGCATGGGGATTTGACTTATAGAAAGGTATTACTCCTATCATCACTCCATTCTTTCATCCTAGTTTGATAGTTTAGCAAACTGTAATAGCAGCAAAGGAATCAAAGAAGATAAAGTATATCTGTCCCATTTTAGTTATTTTCTTCCTTACAATCTTGAATGCCAGTGGAAACAGATGAACTCAATGCAAAGTGTGTTTCTGCATCAGGTGAGGTGGAGTTAAGGAGATAAACAGGAGAAAAAAATAGATTGTGGTTTCTTCTGTATATAGTAATGAATATTAATGTCCATGACATTGCAGAAAGAAAACAAGAAGGATCTTGGTTTCTGGTGGTTTATACACTGCTGTCTAATTTAAAAAATTGACAGCTCTTAACAGCAGAAAGCTTACATTCAAATAGTTTGACTATATGAGGGAAAGGGAAATATCCACATATATATTAGAGAATGTATAGTGGGGAGGAGATGTGATGTGGATAAAGGAACATAAGACTTTTGAATTAAAACTGAGGTTCTCATCCTGGCTCTGCCCTTAACTTGTTATGTAACTCAGGATCAGTCCTTTATCTGTGCTTCAGTTATCTTGTCTGTAAAAGTGAAAGTATCTACAGACATTTATATATCATCAGCAAAGATTTGTGTTCCTTATGTAAAATACTCCATTAACTGTGATAGCAAATGAGAAATTATAAACCTCCCTGAATCATTATCCACATCGCCATCAGGCTTATCAATGACAACAACATGTTATCCGAAGTGCTAAGTACATATAAGCTAACTGAACTTGAATTATTCCATGTATAGACAGCTGAGGAGGCTTCAGTTTATGATATGAGAGTTTCTAGTTGCCTGTGATCTCTACTCTATTCACCTTTCATGGTAATGTGCTCTTTTGTGCCTGGACCTGCACTGGTTCTCCTGAGTTGTTTAAAGAATGTTGATGGGAAAATGCTTGAATGCTTGAATGTGAAGATCCTGGGTACTATCTTGTAATTCTGTCATTAATGCATTAGTTTAAATGCTCTTATCAAATTGCAATAGTTTTGAGGTTAAAAGTAAATACATTGGGCTTGAGGGTTGTTTTGATGGAGAGCGGTGCATGACAGGCGTAAGTCTGTGCCAATTAGGAAAGGCTGTCTAAAACTATGAGTCTTGGATTGGATATGTGGTCCAGGCAGTAAAGGTTATGGTATGAGTGGTCTCAGTCAGGCCTGTGGTGGTGAAGCACTGAGAATGAAGGACAGTTTTTTTTCCTACCTCTTCCTAATTTTATCTAGAATTAGGTCCATGTGTCAAAGCAAACTATCACTCTCCCTACTCAGCTTAGACTCTCAGAGTTCAAAGTAACTTTAGGAATAATCTCGTCAAACTCCCTTGTGTTACACATAAAAAGCTGAAAGTCATACCACTGAATGGTGATAAAGCCAACACTACAAGCCGGGCATCCTATAATTCTGACTGGTGCTCTTTCTCCTAAACCCTTTTCTCTCAGCCTCATTCATCTGTCTCAGAACATGGAGAAGATAGCAAATAGCCTTAGGTTATATGACTGCTGTAGAAAAAGTTGAAATGATCTGCCAAACCAGAATCACTTTTTATATCTGCCTGAATTCATGTTCAATAAATATAAAAATAAAATGAAATGATTAAAAACAAAAGTACTAAGAATACTTACCATTTCTATAGAATTCGCTTCTTGCCAAGCAGATCTGTCAAGTGTTCATGACTAATCTATGACAGTGCTCAATCACTGAACTCTGTGCCTATGGACTATTCTAATTTGTCTTCACAAATCTGCTCCACTGACATAGTACTTGGGCAGTTCTGGTTCTGCCTTCACAGGGAACAAACTATCATCAGGAATCAGAACTTTCGTTACTTTGTAATTTATTGCCTGGGCTTGCTTTCCTAACCCTTATGGCAGACCACTGGATTCAGAGGTCTCTGGGAATGCCTTTTGGTTACTCATTCTCTTCTTGGGTCTATTTTTTCAGATTTTTTTACCATGTTCCAAACATTTTTTGTTTTGTTTTTGGTCTCACTGTATAGCCCAAACTATCCTTAAACTCATGATATTCTTGCCTCCACCTCCCAAGTACTGGGATTATACATATATGCCAACACACATAGTCCAACAAGATACTTTGAAAAGAACTGTTTTATTCTCACCACGTTTTATTTTGCTTCCTCAGGTCTTTCAGTAGTATTTATTTATTTATAAAGTGCCATAAGCAAGAAAGATAAATAATATATATTGAGCACCTATTTATGTGCTAAACTGTGAGTTGCTGAATTTTACTTGAGCTATCTCATATATTCTTAATCTTGCACCCCAAGAGGCATCATTTCTTTATTGATGTTGTAAGAAGAGGAGTGATGTCAGATGGGGCAGTGGAGAAGAGAAAGAGAGAGTGAGAATGAGACAGAGAGAGAGAGAGAGAGAAAACAACTGGTCCTAGATTTATTCCCCCAGATGAAGCTGACATTCTAACTCAAGACTCTTTGAAAGAAAGAACTTGGATCTAAATGAGAAGTATCTTGTGAAATGTACTAATTTGAATTCCTCTGTGTAGGTAGAAGCATTATACTGTTTGCCTTACTTCTCATTTTCATTCCCCTCCTCTTGTATGACCCCTTTTTTTATACTTATGATGTAATCTGATAGCTTCTCAGGTAATCCAACTATATGCCCCACCTAAAACTGTTGTCTGTTCCTTTACTTCCTTCTTTCTACTAAGTAAAATGTATCTCTGTTTATATTTTATCCCCTTGATTTTCTAAAGTGAAATCTGCCTCATGTAATTAATTGAAGTTAATAAGATAATGTCTAGCCATTCCTTGTAGCATTTTAATTTTATTAAGAGATTCCTAGAGCACAGTATCTTTAGGACTGAATTTGTAAAGGGATATTTCAGACCCAGGGGTAAACCTCAGAAGGAGATTATTATATATAGTGGAGAAGAAAAGAGTTAAGTGTAGTTTTTGGTGCCTATAAATCATTGCACATAGGAAGCCACTTACAAGCATCACAAGGGAACATGCAAGGGATCTTTGTGTATAAGTTAATTTGTCTTCTAGCAATGGATATGACAGTTTTCATGAGAACTCCTCAGAAAAGATTGCTGACTAAGAAAATAAAGCTTTTACCCCCCAACTGTGTTGTAAGTTTTAATGCAGGCTGTGGGATTTTTTAAGGGTAGCTCATCTTAGTTAAGAGCTCCTTGTGAGTAGGTAGTGACTTTTGAAAACTGCCACTAACATTCCTACCTTCTCTCACCCTTCCCCAAAGCTGTCAGATCAAAAAGAGATGTCAAATGGTAAAAGAATTGTCACTCACTCTACTTTGATAGCACTAAGGGCTAAGTATAACTCTCTCCATATTCTCCTTTGCCCATGGTAACACATTCTGGGGTCTCAGTATAATCCTGGTAAGATTTCCTAGCTCTCTGACAGCAGCTTCTCCATGTTGCACTTGATCACTATTTTTCTATGTTTTTTCAGGCACAAATGAATTAATCCCGGCAGATTCTCATCACCTCCTCAGGAGACCCTTGATCTGATTAAGGAGTTCCATCAGCACTGGAGTAAACAGTAGGTACTCAAATATCATCTTTTACTTCTGTTTTGGCATCCTTCCTGAAAGAAAAGTCGTTCACTCTCTGATCCCTAGATAGATACTGAAAGTCCCCATTAGCCACTTATTGCATATTTAATTGTCTACCTGTTAGATTACCAGGTAATGGCCAAGTTCTAGTAGTCAAGATATGTGACTGCTAGATATGAAAGGCTATGATTTCTGGAGTATTTGGTAAAATGTGGCATTTTAATGGTGTCATACTATTGGCGCCTGAGGAAAAAAGAAAAACCAGTTGTACCCATCTCCTATTTATTTACTATTTTGATATTGAGTTCATCAAGGATATTTACATTTATTTGGCTTTTGTAAAAATATTGTATTTTAATATTATTTATCTTTATTTCTGATCATTTTGGCAGCACCTTAAATTTTGTGTCTAAGGACATTGCCTCACTCATCTCATGCTAGTCCTGACCTTATTTTTATGAAGCCTTTTTATTTCTTAGGCTTCAAAATTGAACTAGAAAATCAGGGTACTCAGCTTTATTCCCATTTTGAAAGTAAGTGTATGTACAAATTACATAAATGTTTTCAGTGTTAAATACACAGGATATATATATCTCACTCAGCACATAATGGCCAGTCTGTATATATGCTATAGAGTAATATATACATGTTGAGGAAGGGTATGCCATTTGCTGAGAAGGAAAATTATAGTAAATGTAAGCAAATCACAAGAATGTTAGGGAAGTATTTGTTGATTGATTAGTAAGTCTCATATTAGAAGATGCAGATTTCGGCTTGGGAAGTGTTTGTAATATTTGTTTTAACTTCTTGTTCTGGATGCCTGTTCTTTCAAGGGTGTTATCCAAGCATCAGCCTAGATATGTAATCTGCTAAGGGACATATATAGTACTTAAGCCTAGTTTTAAAAATCATAAGCAAAATGACTGCACAGACCACTTAAATAACGCGAAGTGGGGAGGGATGACCTTAACATGGTATTATTAGGTTAGGGAAGTTAGGGTTTTAAAAACCAATGCAATTCCTGAAATTCACATATCCTCTGCATGTGAATGTGTGCATGTTCAACCTAAGTATTTAATATAGGAGCTTATGGGCATCTGGAAGCCAGTCAGTCCTTTCTTTGTAGTTGCTTTTTCTAATAAAAGAGGAAAGACCACTTGAGACTTATCCCCTGATGTAATCAAGATGAGAAGATTTGAGAATTCAATGAGACAGGGAGAAAAAAATTAAGCTCCTGTCTGCAACATATTAAGTTAACACTCATATATTGGGGATTCATGCTAGGTTGAGTAGTCTACATAGCCAGCAGCATACTTCAATTTTCAACAGTAATTACAATGCTGGGTGGTATTTGCATTCCTGTTGTGATATGAAATTCAAATTAACTGAAGGTGATTCAAATGTATTTTCATGTTTTAATAGCCATTAAGGACCCTAATTAAAGTACAGTCTCTGGCTTGAGAGACAGGGAATACTCAGTTATTGCTACTAGCACACAAACAACAAACAAAGCAAAACAGAAAACCTATTTTAATAGATTTGTAAAGTTATTGCTGATAATTTGTAAATTTTCTCCTGAAGACATTAGACAACATTCAGTCTTTGCCCCCAGCATTCATTTTTGTATACAGTTATTTTATAGTGCTTAAAATGCTAAGAATTTGTTCATTTTATTTAATATATTTCATGACACTTACTATACAGCCTTATAAATATTAGATCATTAAATATTCATAGAGTTAGTGACTAGATCATGTCACTTACGACATGAGATGGATTCACGTGGAGCCTTGAATCCAAGAAGATTCAGAGTCTATGCTCATACCTACTATAAATGGAGTCTTATTATTTGCTATATTTGTAATAATTACAATTAAATACATATGAATGCATATGTTTCCCATGAAATAGCAAGGCTATTTAAAACTCAGAAGTAAAATGGCAAAAGTGCCCTTAAAAAGTTATCTGATTTAGTTTGTTCATTTCAAAGAAGACATGGAGGCCAGAAAAATTAAGTGACTTCTTTAGAGTCACAGGAACATTCAATATCAGAGGTGGAACAAGAACTCAAAACTTCTCACTGTCAATCTAGGGATCTTCACTGTGCAAAGCTGCCTTTGTTGTGACTAACTTAAATAAAATATATAACAAATAGTTAATTTGTAAAGCTATATGCTCACCATAATGATGCTGTGTTTCAGCAAATATTTTCATAATCTTTCTTTTAAATTGTGTTTGCAACTGGTTTGAGCCAATCAAGAAAAATGAGTCTTACAACAGTGTGATCATAACTTGCTTTGGACCAAAGTGACATTTTTTTTTGCTTGATCTCTAACTTCATTTTTCAGACTTGGCTCTGAATTGTTTTTGATTGTTTCCAAAAATTCAATTACTCTTAAAAGAACTTTGTCACTCCAAGGATTATTATAAAGAATGTGATGCAAGCTTTGGATGTTATTCTAAAGGAGAATTCCCAAAATTTCCTAAGCAGTAGACATATGACTAGAATAAGCATGTAGCCTTTCAAAGCAACAATTTAGGAGAGACAGAGTAATATAAATTCTTTTTTTGATTATTTAAAGAAAATATCAATGTAAAGAATTCCATGTTTTTTATAAGTTCCAAATTATTGATGCAATACGCATGGTTTTGCGCGTGTGTGTGTGTGTTTACGTGCACGTGCACATGAGTGCATTCATATGAGTGTGTTTTGTTTCTTGGGTGACTTTTCCAGACATAGAAGTTCTTTTTATTTATTTATTTATTTATTTATTTATTTATTATTCATTTATTCACATGTGTGTACACTGTTTGGGTTATTTCTCCCCCTTGCCCCCCTCCCCTCCCCTTTCTCCCCTGACATAGAAGTTCTGTATAGAAAAAACTACTTATCCTTCCAGGTAAATGATATTTCTTGGAGATGGATATCTTGTTGTGGTATGTAGCATATATTAATGGCATAGTTTGGAGATGTTGTGAGAGTTTACAAAGTCAAGTATGTAGAGCTGAGGATAAGGCAAAATAAGGTAGATCAGAAAAAGTTTGAGGATGGTCAGATGTACCCAGTAATAGTGGAGAAAAATTAAATATTTTAAAGTTGAAACACTGATCTCTTAATGCTATCACAGATTCTTCTACTGATAAGAATAATGAGGAAAGCCAGGCACCAGTGGCTCATGTCTGTAATCCTACTACTCAGGAGGCAGAGGTCAAGGGTATCACGGTTCAAAGCCAGCTCAGCAAATAGTTCACGAGACATCATCTCGAAAAAACCCAGCTGTTTTTTTTTCCCAGTAAGGCAACAACAACAACAACAAAATAATAATAATAACAAGGAAGAGAAGGTTCTCAGTTTTAAATAAATTTACTCTTAGGAAATTGCTAGCTATTTGCTTTAACCGTCCTCTGATCCCATCTGTGAATGTTTGTCTAAACGACCAATCTCCAGATAGGTGCATATGTAGGTAAATACATTAGGGACCAATCACAGAACAAATGATAAAAGTGCATATCCATTTGTTGGTCATCTTAAAATAAAAATAAGCACACTTCTCACATTTGTAATTCCACTGCCACTTATATAACCAACGAAACAAATAATTGGCACTTCAAACTGTCAGATTTATGTTTCCAATCTTCTTTTATCTGATATATATTTAAGCCGGTAAGTATAATGGTAGATCTGAATTCAAGCTGTTTGCCATGGCATAGAAGTAAATGTCCTTACTTTAACACTTGTTAAACTTTACAAAGAAAACAGGTGGAAAATTAAGTGAACTTCATCTAAATAAATCTTAAGACGTGGCTAGTCACTCAGTTTCCATTTCAATGAACTGGTGATCAAAAACTAACCAAATATTGCAAATAATGCCATTTACTTTTATTGTCATTAGTTTTGGTTTAGAAACACCTTCTTTCTTTTGCTGTTTATAATGTGCATTTAAGGGAAGAGAATTAGAAATAAATAAACCGAAAGGCAATGCCTACATTACTTATAAACTCACCCTAATCCAGAATAATTCCATAGGTTCACTGGTATTCTGGAGGTCCAGACTTACATTCTGAGTGGATAATGATGTAGAGGTAAGTAATTAACCTATAGCAGAAATAAAAGTAAGAAAACTAGCGGTAAGTTTAATAGTAAAATACATTATCTTTTCTCAATTGCATGGCTTGGGAACCATTGCCTGTTTAACATATTTTGGATATGTGGTGAGTCCTCTGGCTATGATTGGGGTGGGACTTGTCATTTGCTGTCATATGAAGGCAGCAGTCTATGATAGAGAAGTAAAAATACAACTACATTGCCTCAAAGAAGCAATATGCTCTATTCCATTTTGGTGGATAGGAGGTAAAGCTTTTTAAATCTGATTTGCTTTCATTTTTGCTTTCTTTGATCATATTACAAAGTGGCTAATTAAATGTATATTCTAAAAAGTTGAGTTATTTTTTTAAAAAAGAAAGTATGCTTTGAGTTGCCTATTCTGAATCAGATCATGGCTTGCATAAAACACAATAGATCTCTAAACAGATGATTTTTTAAAGGATACATGAATATGGACCTTCAGGGGCCACTGTCTGAAGGAGGTGTTTTCTTTTTGTTTGTTACTGAAGCTTTTTTTGGTATACTTCCCAAACATTTAAGTGAACACATTGTGATTATTTTTAGGAAACCATGTCGGAAATCCTAGTCAGCTCAGTAAGATAGTGCCCAGAGCATTTAATTTTGTCTACTGGCAGGTGAACAATAAGGAAGAGCATACTTTCCTGTTGGGGGCAAGTGGGAGGGATACAAGTCTGTAAAGAAAAGAATTCAACTATGATATACTGTAAGAGCTTTTGTAAATGTCACAATGTACCCCCAGTACAACAATAACATGATAATTAAAGAAAAACCAAGTTCCTCCTTAGATCTTATTTTTACTTTAAATCTGCTAGAAGAAACAGCAAATCAAAATTTGTTTCACGCAGGAGTTAATACCACTGG